TGTGTCTTCTGGAGGCAGCATATGGCTGGGTTTTGTTTTTTGATCCATTCTGCAACTCTGGGCCTTTTTATTGGTGAGTTCAGTCCATTTACATTTAGAGTAATTATTGAAATATGAGGTCTTCTTATAGCCATTTTATCTTTTGATATCTGTTAGCTTGGTGTTTCCATTGCTTCCTTGTCCTTGTGCTTCTGTTTTCTTTATTTTGATTGGCTTTTATGGGTTTTCCCTCTGATTCTTTTTGTTTTATGCTATATACTTCAGTTCTGAATCTTTGGTGTGTGGTTACCATTATGAATATGTAATGGATAGTTATACATATACAGTCGTCCATTTTCTTCTTCATGTGCCTTATCTCCATTCCTCTTTGCAAACTTGGATCTTTGAATCCACCGCTTTTCTGTTATTGTTGTCTCAATTTATCCCTATGTATGCTGAACAATTATTACTATCTTGCTATAGCAAATCTCTTATTGTTTAAGCTTATAATGCTTTGTTCTTAAGGGTGCACTCTTCTGCTCCTGTCTGACTACTAGTTGCCTTACTCGTAGTTATGTTTTTGGGTTTTTTTTGGTCATTTTGTTTTAGGTGAGCTGACCCCTTTCAATATTTCCTATAATGCAAGCCTCATAGTGGAGAATTCTCTTAATTTTTTATGTCTGGAAAGGTCTTTATTTCTCCTCCATATTTAAAGGAGTGTTTTGCTGGATACATTATTCTTGGCTGGTAGTTCCTTTCATTTAATAGTTTGAATATTTGATTCCACTCCTTTCTGTCTTGTAAGGTTTGTGCTGAGAAGTTCTTTATAGTTTACTGTCCTCTTTTCCCTGGCTGCTCTGAGAATTCTTTCTTTGTCGTTGATTTTTGATAGTTTTAATGCCATATGTCTTGGAGAAGGTGTTTTTGGGTTGAGATAACTGGGTGTTCTGTTGACTTCTTGAATTCCAAGCTCTATCTCATTTCTTAAATTTGGGAAATTCTCATCAACTATTTGTCTGAAAATGCTTTCTAATCCCTGCTTTTCCTCCCCTTGGAGAATGCCCATTATTCTTATGTTTCCTTTCCTGATCGTATCAGCTAGGTCTTTGTATTTCTCTTTCATTATTTTTCATTCTTGATTTCTCTCTTGTTCCTTCTGATTGATTTCTAGATTTCTGTCTTCAATATCAGTGATATTTTCCTCCTTTTGGTTGACTCTTCCAAGCTTGCTATTTCATTTTTCATCTCTTTCAGTGTGTTCTTCAACTCCAGAAGTTCCATTTTTTTTAGAGTTTCAGTCTCCTTGCTAAAAACCTCATTCTGCTGATCTAGATTTTTCAGTTCCTGTAGTAGCTCTTATGTGCAGATCACACGCTCAGACATGCTGGTGTGCCGGTTGGATGTTTTTTGTAGAGTTTTAGATGTTCAGCTTGTTGTTGTTTAAAGGGGAGAGATCTTGGGACATCTCTCACTCTGCTATGTTTCTCTGTTTTCCATATTTAAACCATACCTCAGTCTCTAAATTGAACAGAACCCATCTTAGTAAATATGGTATAACATGCTATATTTCAGTGCAAAACCCAATGAAAGATAATGTCATTGGATATGCCAAAATTATTAGCACACATAAAAATCAAAACTTTTATGTTGAATTTGTAATTTTCAGTTTTAAAACACAAAAAGGAAACTCTAAAATATGAGATAATATTTAAACATTTTCAGTAAAGGTGAGAAATAGTCTTTTGGAATGGGTAATGTCTCTCTTGCAATATTGATGAAAGAGTTCCTGGAGGATGGATTGTGGGAATAAAGAGACATTTCATTTGTAACTAGAAATGGATGTGAACCCAACAGTTTTGATAAGAAGTCATTTTAATGTGGTATGTAAAAGTGAGTCATTGTATGTATAATGTTTAATCTTTCTGATTAGAAGATAACCAAACTGGATGTATTTTAGAGTTTATAATGGTATAAAATTGCTCCCCTCTTCCCTACTTCTACTTCCAAAGTGCTGTAAATTACTATTGCCCCACTATCAAAGTAATCAGGACACAAGCCAAACGGCTGAATATGCTACTTTGAAAAAAAAAATCACAGTACAGAAGGTTGGTAGATGCCTTTTATTATTTCATATAAATGTTAAGTTGACATGTAGAATTGATTTTTCTCACTTTGTTCTAAGTAAAATTCCAAAATGCTGTTACCTCTCAAAATTTTTAAAAATTTTCAAAAATAATCACTTGAAAATTTAAGGCAGGGAATAGTTTTCCTGAGAGGTTTTAGATAGTTTTATATAATAGTGGAAGTGTTTTGTTTCTAAAGTTCACAAATTTAAAATAGATCTATTTTCAAAAAAAAAAATCTCTTCTACTGTCACAGTGAATTTCTTGAATGTAAAGTAGTTCTTTCGCTGTCAGGTAAATGTTTGTAAGGCTTTCTACTAAATTTAGGTTCACTTTTAAGTAAAAACTGAGATGTATTTAGCAATTTCTATATTTGATATAATTTGTTTTAGAACTTCCTAAAAAGGTGAAAATGCATAAAAATAGATTAGTTGATTAGGAAGTATTGAATTGTGACAGCACAAAGAATGGCAACTAGCGCAAATCCTATCATGAGGATTAGAATAAATGTATCATCGCTCATCTCTATCCTGAGCTTTTCACGTTTATCTTCAGTAGGGTGGCTTCCCCCCTTTCCTGTACCGCTTTTGCCAGTCCCTGGCTGATGCTTATAGGTTGAGAAAAAAGCCCTGGGGCTATATCGTCCCCAGATCTCTTGTAACCCAGCAGAATTCTGGTATTGGCGTCCAGCGCAGACCTTGAAGCGATAATGTGAATTTGAGAGAAAGTTGGAAAAGGAGAATGAGGTATCTGGTCCTTTGTAAATCTAAAGGAAAAAGAGTCAAAAAGAAAATATTTTATTACTAAATAAAATACCATGGTATGGTTTTTGACAACAGAAAAAATATGAATTAATTAATTCATTTCATGAATATGTTCACACAAAAAACACAAGTTTACTCTTATAGTCTCTAATGTCCTGAGAAGACCCAGCACTGCTTAGGTAATTTTGTTCAGTGTGGAAAATAGTAGACTTACAATTGTTAAACTTTAATTGTATTAGGTTTGGAATGAGTTGTGCATGTGGTCAGTGGAACCTAGAAATACAAAATCATTCAATAGTAATGAGTTAAATGAATAAGCTAATTGTCCCCAAATAAATATTACATACATAAAACTTTAGGGACCAGATAGGATTTTTGGATAAGATTTAGTTACTTTAAACATCCTGAAATAATATCTTACTCTTTGACAAGACCTCAGTCTCCAGCAGGATATAAAACTATAATATTTTAAAGAATAAATTTGCAAAAATTTACCATATCAGTTCCTTTTTCACTGATGAGTTGAAGATTGTAAACAATGGGATCTCCTTTTATTGGCTCCAAAGACTCCCATTTGACCTCACAAACACTGCTATTCAACTGATGTAATTTAGGTGCTAGAAAAAGAGAATTTCAGTTTAGAGGGTTCTATTTTTCCTAGATGATCTTGAATACATTGAAGTCTCTCATAATTTTCCATGGTCATTAAAAGGCAGTCCACGTAGGCTTAATCTAAGAAATATATAGTTATAGTTCTTCCTGTAAAGTCTTTTGTTATACCCTGAGGCATCTTAATGATTGTAATTAAAACTTTAAGAACTTAAAATTATCAATTGATAATGCATTTTTGTTTTTCTAGGAAGATTTTATTATAGCTTTTATTAGTATTGTTTAATCCCTGCCAGTATAATCTCTTGCATTGTATTTATATGATGCATCATATATTTGGAAGCATTTTTACATTCATCAATAATTTAATTTTAGGATTTTAGCACCTGTGTAAATAAAGTAGGCCAGGATCTTTATTTCATGTTATTAATCTCTCTACATTTCAGGAAAATGGGGCTTAAATACATAAAAAGAGAGCAAGGCATTATTGTGGTCTGTCATGTTAAATTCCAATATGTTTTACACTGAAAACAAATTATTTCAAAATAGTGATTGGACTTGTGTAGATAGATTAGAACACTGAATTTTATAACTGGAAAGAAAAAATCCTCAAAACTTGAGCTTTCATGACTGTAAATTTGCCTTGTTATATATTATAAACAGCAGTTTATTTTTTTAAATAAGGAGAGAAAATTCAGTTTCAAAAGTTACCAAATATGTACTAGTTAACAAATATGAAACTACAAATTTGTACTAAATATGTACCAAATACTATTTACATAATCTTATTTTTTTCAGTTTTAATCAGTATAATCACACCTATCAGTTGATGAGTTTTATGTATTAATCCATTTGAAAAAAATATAAGATAATACAAGGAATGTATATCATGATAAAGTGGAAGGAGAACCACAATGAGAATAAAGAGCCTATAGTTTCAATCTTGGTTCTGCTACTGACTTATAGTGTCCTTTAGCTAAATTTCTTACCATTTGGGGGACTTCTTCCTCTTAAAATAATGGCAGTGGTGATAGAGTGATTGGCTGGTTTAGTTGATCCCAAAGATATATTTTTTAAAAAATATTATGATTCCAGGAGTCTCATTAATTCTGCATTGCCTTTTGAATCCATAATTGAGTACTGGTTTCTTTTGGTATCATATTGTTGACTATTTAAGATATTTAAAATAAATTCTACCGTGGAGTTTTATATATGAGTTATTGGAACTCAAATTAATGCAACCTTTATTATCACAGCTTATAACACTTACCTTTAAGTGTGGCCGGTGGGGTTTTGGTTGTAGTGAAAGTATAGATACTAGACAGTGGTCCGTCACCAGCTTCATTACATGCCTGGATTTTAAATTTGTATTGAGTATATTCACTCAATCTTTGCACTTTGTGAATCTGACAAGGTCCATGGTAAATGATAGAAAATCTAGGAATGGGAATCGAGATGGGAGAAGCAATATTATTAATTAATAGTCGTACACATACAAATAACTATATAACTGACTTAAAACTAGTTTTTAAAACCTGAACAAGGCCTAAAGTAACATGAAGCCAGATAGATAAAACACAAAAGAAAAAAATCAGTGTAAATATTATAATGGCAAGGAGCTGGCTTTCATATTTCTTTGATAATTTCTATACCCTGGTATTAATGTGTGTTGTATAAAGTATTTTGGAAGAGGCAAAACAGAGAGCTAAATTATCAGTAGGAACTGAAGAAAGTGTATCTATCGTGATCATGGGATGCTTTCACATCTATTAGTTCATTGAAACCACTTGAAAGATAGGAAATTTTAAAACATTTTTATTATAATACATGTTAAATAGTAAAAATAGTTTACCTGCCAGATCGGGCTCCCATTAACAGATTATAGCTTATAACGCTGGAAAGTGACCCTTTGCTTGAAGAGTTACCCCACTTCAGTTTCAGGCTTTGGTGTCCAAAGACTACACAGTCAAGACGTGGAGGCTCAGGTGGTAGTGGCTTGGTTTTGGTTCTTATTGATTGGCTAAAAGGGCTTAGTCCATAATGATTGATAGCTTGAATTCTGATTCTAGTGGTGAGAAGAAAAAAATTAAACTATATTAATTTATATTTAGAAAAGAAAATAAATTTCTACATTTAAGCTAATCCCTTAGTAAGCCTATGTAGGATATTGATCATGATGTTATACTAATTATTAAAGACAAATTTTTGAGACAAAAATCTTGAATTTGCTTAATCACTATAGGTAATTCTGGATGACGAGAAGCTAGCTCTTAGTAATGCCAAAGTTTTCTAAAGCAGTAAGACTCTTTCAAAGGAAATATTATGTAGGCTATATAAAACATACAAATGTAGATTTGCTCAAAATTCTCAAAGCTTTACATTTACCCAAATTAAGATATGAGCGACTTACTTGTATATGGTATCAGGGTGTAGATTTTTCAGAAGACACTCTGTTACTCTATCAACAGTCAGAATTTTTCTGTCTCCATATTGAATGTTATATCCGGTGATTGGAGAGCCATGGCAATTTGGTTCCTCCCATTGAATAGCAATGCATGATGATGCCAGTTTGGCAGGAACTTTGTTTTGAACTTCATGTAGCATTGGTACTACTGCTGGTACACTTGCTGGTGTGGTTACTGTGCCAGTTCCTCCAAACATTCCAACTCCAACTATATTTACAGCCTAAAAATGAATACTGTGTTAGAAGTTCATTATTACTTTTTTTTTGCATAAACCATTTTGCTGCAAAAAAATAAATTTTCTTAAACTCAAATTCTAACAATATGGTCCTTTTAAAAATTGAGATATAATAGATAACACTAATATTGGGTAAGTTTAAGGTGTATAATGTGTTGATTTGATACATGTATACATTGCTATATGAAACAATATGGTTCAAAGATGCTGACACACATTGAAATCTTTAGAGTGCATATTTAGGAAGGTGAAATGTCTAAATATGAGAGATAAATGAAGAGTGCTATTATGGACACTTAAGGAAAAATATACCCAAACCAAACTTATTACTCCACCAAATTTTCTTCCTTTTTTTCATCTTATAGTTTCTTTCTCTGTTGATGGTAGCCCAAAGATCACATCCACTTATCAAATTTCACTGATTTTATAAAAACTTGTTTATTTTGAGATCATTGTAGATTCATATGTACTCTTTACCCACTTCCCAACAAAGGTAACATTTTGCATAACTATACTGAAATATTGCAATCAGGAAACTGACATTGATAAAATCTATTGACATTATTCAAGTTTCACCAGATTTACATGCATTCATTTTTTTTGTGAATTTAGTTTTATATAATTTTATAGTGACCACCAACACAATAAAAATATAGAAGTTGTGGAGGAAAAAAAATGGCGTAGATGATAGAGGCTTTGTTCATCTCTCTTGTGACCAAGTCAGAGTGGTGACAGAAACACGGATCAAACAGCAAGCAAAGTCACCTGGGATCTAGATGAACAGAACCACTACAACTAGGGAGAGAAATAAGAAATCACCGTGCAATGACAGAAGGTAGGACAGGGTGAAGACAGGAGGCTGCCTGGTTCCGAGCAGCTGAGTGGGACAGAACCTGTGCCAGCAGCAGCTGGCAGCCGCAGGTGCCTCATAAAGGGGCCATGTCTGCGACTGGACTTTAGTGGTGACAGACCTGCTCCCTCTGAGCACCAGCACCTGGTCGGCTTCTGGGGGAGTGTGGGAGGCACCAAGGGTTTACAGGGGTACACTGAGTTGTTGGAGTGAGGGCTGGAGGTGAGGCTTTCTCCCAGGCAGAAGTGCTGGTAGTATCCATTGTTCCTATGCTGAGCCCTCCTCCCTCCTAGTGTGCAGACTCAGTGCCACCATAGCTGACATGTCATCGAACTGGATAACAGAGGTCACTCTGTCCAGAGGACTCCCTGAAGGTCTGCCTCCCCCAACTCATGGCCCTACCCAAGCCACATCCAGTTATATCCTCAGTGAGTCCAGTGTTCCTTGCTGAGCCAACTCCAAGACTCACACTGGTGACAGCTGACCTCGGTTTCTGACATGGCATCCTGAGGCAACAGTAAGCACAGCATCTGTGGATTGCTTGCTGACTCTTAACACATGGCCCTGGAGGGTCACAGGTTGTAGCTAAACATGGCCTGCAGCTGAACCCCTCTCAGTACTGTGCCACTGGACACCTACTACAGAAATCCACACTAATAAGACTGAGAGACTTAGGAGCTTTGCTTAGTACATAGAAACAGACACAGAAAGGCAGCCAAAATGGGAAGACAAGCAGAACCCATATGAGAGAACAGAACAGAGATCCAGGAATAATGGAGTCAAGCAATCTAACAGATGCAGAGTTCAAAACACTGGTTATAAAGATGCTCAATGAACTTAGGGGAAGTGTAGATGAACTCAGTGAGAACTTCAACTAAGAGATAAAAAACAAAAATGGAAATGAAAATGATAAAAGAGAACCAGTCAGAAATGAAGAACACATTATCTGAGATGAAGAGTATATTAGAAGGAATCAACAAAGTGGAGGAAGAAGAGGATCGAGCCACCAATATAGAGGATGGGGAAGCCAAGGACACTCAAATCAGAATGGCAAGAAAAAAGAAGCCAAGACTATAATAATAATTTAAGGAGCCTATGGGACACACTTAAGTGTAAAAATATCCATGTCATAGGGGTACTGGAAGGAAAACAAGAAGTTGAAGAGCAAAAACCCAAAGAGGACCACACCAAGACAAATCATAATTAAAATGTCAAAAGTTAAATACAAAGAGAGTCTCCTAAAAGCAAAAAGAGAAAAGAGAGACTCCTAAAAGCAGCAAGAGAAAAGCAGTTAGTTACCTATAAGGGAGCACCCATAAGACTGGCAGCTGATTTCTCAAAAGAAACTATGCGGGACAGAAGGGCTTGGCACAAATATTCAAAGTGATGAAAACCCAAGATCTACAACCAAGAATACTTTATCCAGCAAAGCTATCATTTAGAGTCGAATGACAGATAAAGAGCTTCCCAGACAAAAATAAGCTAAAGGAATTTATTGACACTAAGCCAGTATTACAGGAAATGTTGGACTTCTTCAAGAAGAAAAAACATGTATCAAAAACAAGAATAAAGAATGGTAATAACTACATTCCTATCAAGAAGTACGTCAAATGCAAAAGAATGAAGTGCTCCAACCAAAAGATAGAGTGGCTGAATGTTAAGAAAATAAGACCCCTACATATGCTGCCTACAAGAGACTAACTTCAGATTAAAAGACACACAGACTAAAAGGGGATGGAAAGAGATAGTTTCTTGGTGGACCTAGAGGGTATTTTGCTGAATGAAATGTCAGAAAAAGACAAATATCACATGATTTCACATATATATGGATCTAAAGAACAATAGATACAAAGAATATTTTGAGGGCTACTAGATGGGAGGGGTTGAGGGGGATGACAGAAAGGAGCAAAGGGATTAAGAAGTACAAATGGATAGTTACAAAATAGACATGGAGATATAAAGTGTAGCATTAAGGCAAATAGTCAATAATGTAATAAATATGTAAGGGGGAAGAGGTGTACTAGATTTAGTGGAGTGATCACTATGAGTTATATAGATCTCTAATTACTTTGCTGTACAACCGAAACTAATATATTATTATATGCCAACTATAATTGAAAAAAACTCATTGAATTGTACAGTGTAAATACGAGCAACTGTCTATTATATTTCGATAAAGCATAAAAAAGATATAGAAGTTCCATTATAGTAATCCCTTGTGCTACCCTTTTATAGCCACAGAAACCTCTCTCCCTCCTTCTTTTTCTAATCCCTAGAAATCAGTAATTTGTTTTTCCATCACTATAATTTCGTCATTTCAAGAATGTTATATAAATGGAATAATGCAGTATGCAATTTTTTTAGGCTTTTTTTTTTTTTTCAGTCAGCGTGACTCTCCTGCATATGGATAGCTTGATTCTTTTTACTGTTGTATAGTATGTCATGGTACAGATGTACTACAGTTTGTTTAACCACTTAACTGTTGAAGGGCATCTGAGTCATTTCTAGTTTTTGGCTCTTACAAATAAATGTGCCATGAACATCTATATACAGGTTTTTATTGTGGACATAAATTTTCATCTCTCTGAGATAAGTGCCCAAGAGTGCTGGACATATAAGTGCATGTTTAGTTTTGTAAGAAACTACCATACTCTTTTCCACCAGAAATTTATGAATAACCCAGTTTCTTCCATCTTTGCCAGTATTTACTGTCATCACTATTTCGTATTTTATCCATTCTGATAGGTGTGCTAATGTATCTCATCACTCATTTCTCTAATGGCTAATGATGTTGAAGATGTTTTCATGTACTTATTTGCCATTTTATATACTCTTTTGTGAGTTATCTGTTCATGTCTTTTGCCCATTTTCTAACTGGGTTGTTTAGGTTTTTAACTGCTGAGTTTTGAGAGTTCTTTATATATTCTAGATATTAGTCCTTTGTATTTTGTGAAGATTCTTTCCCACTCTGTAGCTTTTCTTTTCATTTTCTCCACAGGGTCTTATGCAGAGTAAAAGTTTTTAAATTTGGGGTCAAATTTATTAATTTTTCATTTTATGGCTTGTGCTTTGGTATTCAGTTTAAGAACTCTTTGCCTAGCCTAGATCCTGAGGATTTTCTCTTGTGATTTTTTTTCCTAAAAGTTTTTATAGTTTTATGTTTTAATTTTCAGTTTTCTGTGGTCTATTTTAAGTTAATTTGTGTATAAGGTATGAAGCTTAAGTTGATTTTAATTTTTTTTTTTTTGCCTATAGATATCCAGTTTCTCTGGCATAATTTGCTTAAAAGGTAATCAGTAACTCATTTGCATCTTGTCAAAAATTAGTTGCACATATTTGTGTGGATTGATTTCTGGCTTCTTTCTTCTGTTCCATTGACTTATGTGTTTGTCCCTCCATTAATACTATACTGTCTTGATTACTGTAGTTATAATCTTTAACGTTAATCTTTAAGGTAGAGTAATTTCTTCCACCTTATTTTTCTCTTTCAAGAATGATTTATCTATTCTAGGTCCTGTGACCTTTCATATAAATTTTAGAATGAGCTTGCATGTATCTGTTTCAATTGATATGGTCACACAATGTTTCTTCTCCAGCCTGTTTGTATAGTAGATTACATTGGTTGGTTTTCCAGTTTTGAACCAGGGTTGCATACCTGGAACAAATACCACTTGGTCATGATGTATAATTCTTTTTATACAATGCTGGATTGGATATGCTAATATTTTGTTGAGCATGTTTTTGCATCTAAATGAGTTATTGGATAGCAGTTTTATTTGTATTTTGATTTCGGTTTCAGGGTAATCCTGGACTCATAAAATGAATTGAGAGCTCTCTCATCTTCTTTTTTCTGGAAGAGATTATTTAAAATTGGTGTTAATTTTTCTTCACATGCTTTGTAGAATTCTCCGGTGAAAGCATCCTAGCCTGGAGATTTTTTTTCCCAGGGCTTTTTAAATTTATGAATTCAATTTATTTGATGACAGTAGGGCTATTCAGATGGTCTATTTCATTTTGACTGAGTTTTAGTAGTTCATGGTTTTCAAGGAATTTGTCCATTTCTTCTTTCTTATTACATTTATGAGTATAAAGTTGTTCATAGTATTCCCTTATTATCTTTTTAATGATTGAAGAA